GCCTGCCTGCTCTGTAATGCTTTTCTGCCAACCACCTTGCCTTGGAGCCAGCCAACTACGAACTGAAACCTCTACAAACTGGGAACTACAATAAACCTTTCCTCCTTTAACTTTGAGTGTTGGGAGTTTTGTCTCAGCAATGAGAAAAGTAATTAAGACACCCGGCTAGGCCCAGGCTACTTTGTTTTGTTCCATATGCCAATACCGTAGCAGAGGAGAGCAAGAAAACTGGTAGGCACATACAAGGGCTCCTGTGTTGGTAGATATCTCTTCTGCTCTTGTTTCACTGGTCACAGAAGTCACATGACCAAGCTGATGATGGACCCAGTATTCGTAGGAGACACAAAGCAAGTCAGATGGTATGTGTGGGCAAGGAGGAAAAAATCCCTCAGGAAGGGTGGATTCTCTTGCTTAAATGAATATAGACGCAGCCATCCTGGGGGTGGGGATAGGGGCTGTGGCTCATATGGATGCAATAGGCAACCTGTTGCTGAGGGGGCCCTGCCTCGCAAGAAGTTGTGGGAGGGCCAGCAGCTGCACCTAGCCCCTGAGACCTTGTCATGCTCAGATCAGAGCCACTGGGCTCTGCAGACTGCCATCTCCCTGTTCACAGAGACTCCAAGTCACCTGAAGTTCCCCAGGCCTCAGGCCCAGACCTGCCTCCCATTGTCAGGCATGGAGTTGGAACTGTGGTACTGAGGAGCTGCCCCTCAGTTGGGCATGGAGTTTCATCTGGGGGCTGGGGAAAGATATTATGGGGCTGATCCCACTGCCAGATGAATGGCAAGGGGGCCCAAAGCCCTTGCATACCGTTAGGGATGAGGGCTGGCCTTGCCTCACAAAGCACATGTGTTTCCCCCAAGGAGAGAGGCTCTGTTCTCCTCACCAGACACTCCCACTTAGAGGGACCTCTAAGGTCTCTAGGGTGCCTAGTTGAGGCCAAATTTCCTTTACATTTGGTACCAGCTGTGAAGGCTTTGCTGAGACCAAAGTCTGTGCCTGGTCACCACAGGATTGCTCTACTCTGAAGCCATCCCCTTACCAAGCTCCAGGCCCTACTCCTGGATTCTCCATCAGGAGGGTTTCCCTGAAAATGCAAATCATCTATCATCAGGCTTTTCTCTGCCTGAGTCTCCTGGGGAAGGTGTAGGGTGAGCTGCTGCAGCTGGGAGATTAAGTACCACCCACTCAGCTGGTCTCCAGTTGTGCCCTTATGCATCCTGCCTCTAGCTCCCCACAACTCAGCCCTCCTAACCTCCAGGTTCCTGGGATGGAACTGGACACCCCAGAGGTAGCCCTCCTCCAGACCTTTGGCAGCAGAATACCACCAGGGTGGAAGTTCTTCTAAGGCACACACCGTGAGACTCTAACTTATTAATTTCTGTATTGTCCATCTTCCACTACAAGGAAGGGCCCTGCAGGGTCTGCTCCCAATGCCCAGCATCCATGATCAGACATGGCAATTAACAAAGGCCTGAGATCAATGGACATAGAAGTTACAAGCCAGAGAGGTCAGAACACACACATAGGGTGGGGTAGAGACAGTCCCAAAACAGAGCACCCCTCATCTCCCTGTCATGGACACTGGCAGCTCCAATTGCTGGGTTTCATAAGCTCAGCTTTATGTAGATGTGGCCATGAAAGGGTTCCTTAGAGCCCATGGATTCCACCCGTCTCTAAAGGCACTGGCCATGGCACCAGCTCAACCCTTCACCCACCAGGAATGTGGCTGGAATGTGGCTAAGAGCTCTTCCAGAAGCCTGCACGTGGTCAACACTGGAACCATCTCATTCCTGGATCACAGCAGAGGCAGCCAGAGCAGGAGCCTAACACAAATCTTTTACCTAGCAGGGCACTCAATTAGCTCAGGTGGCACGTGGTCAGACCCTCCAGAGGCCTTGGGAGAGAGCTCATTACACGCAATTGCACATCTGGGCCTGAGAGGCCCTGGGGAATTAGCTCTGCGCTGATTTACAGCCTCTTCTCTTTGTCCTTTCCTGAAGGAGAGAAGATTCCTAGGATCCTAGAAGAGCACTTCTCAGTGACTGTCTCCTAGAAGGCCCAGGCCCCTCTCCACCTCCTGGCCTCTGCAAGCACATAATGGATCTACCTGTTCCTGCAGAATACCCTCCTGGTAATGTAGGTAATGTTGATTTCTGCTTCAGTCCTTGCCTCTTTGCCCAGGCCCCCATTTTCATGGGGATGTGAGATTTCTAGCATGGTTTAGAAGGTCCTCGGTGTTGACACCTGCTCCATTTGTGGGTACTGAAGAAGATACTGAAGCCCTGCCTGGCTGACTTGCTTGGGTGTAGCTGTGCAGGACCAGGTGGCTACAGGTCCCCAGAGGGCCAGGTGCCTTTCAGTAAAATTATGATAGTAAAAAAGACTACCAAAAGCCAGAGGAGGACCAGCCTGGGGACTGGATGGGGCTCAGATTTGTTTGGAACAGATCTTCGTCCAACTACATGCAGATGCTCTGTCTTTGGAAGGCCTCTTATTAATCACTGATTCATTCAAGCTCCTTGAAGCTGTGCCAGGTGCCTGCCTAGGACCTGAGAACTGGGAAGGATACTGGGAAAGCCCATGGGATGTCTATATAAAGAGTAAGAGCTCCCAGGCAGTGGATTCAGGTAGACCACATGGATGTGGGGGTTCTCCATATGCAGGGAGAGCTGGGGAGACTCAGAAAGCACTTATCGATGGGAAAAGAAGCAGATCTAGGGTGGTTCTGAGGAAGGGATCCTGGACAGAGAGACAGGAGGACAAGATGGCCCTGCTGCTAAAAGCAAGGAGCCCCTGAGGTGCGCACCGACAGCCAGAAACCTGATATTCCACAGAAGGGGAAGCCCAGGTGACAAAGCTCAAGTATGGTAAGCCCAGGACAGTGGGAAGTGCTGACACTTTTAACCTTCCCTGAGAAGCAGATGCCAGCAGCTGGATGTCCATCAGCAGGGGATGGAGCAGTCAACTGGGTATCTCACAGCAGCCATAGACACCTGCAGACACAGGGGCTGAAGCCACCATGGTCAGGGTAGGAAGGTACAGCCCATGAAGTATGGCCCTTGCATAGCCTGGTTCTTTCTTGGAGACCACGGAAATATCCCTCAGTGGGGCTGAGGTTGAGCAAACAGTACCCTCTTTATAATTTTATGTCAGTACTCAGACTTCTGAGAGACCCTCTTGCATTCTCCAGCCTGCCTTGGCTGCTGATCCAGCAATGGCCTGCAGTCTACAGAAGATATCTTAACTGAGGCATTCTAGCTTCTTCAGTAGTTATGGTGCCTTTACACACAGAATAAGGCCCTTCTTCTCCAGGTTGGCCTCTGGGTGTAGGGAGGCCCACTGAGGGTACCTGCTGAGGGGGATGTAGCCACACACTCTTGTGGGGACCCTAATGCCCTCTGTATCTCCAGACCAGCTGCGCCTCAGCCACTGGTCAGACACTGGCCCATCCCCACTTCAGCACCCAGGCACTTTACTGTCTCTTGCTGGCACATAATCCCCTGAGGTCGGTCACTATGGCCCTCCATCTGATTCTTGGCAAGGCAAGGCTACCTCCCCAGTACCTTTGTTTGGTGTCTGCAGTTTTCCTCCCCACGGGCAAGCGGGGATCTCTGAATGTCCTTCCTCGAGGAGCAGGGAAGACTTGGAGTCCCCTTGCCAGGCCAGCAGCCAGCCCTTGTGGCTCTTCCCCATCCATGGCAGGGAGTGTGGTTTCTTTCATCCCCTCAAGATCCAGGGTTAAAACACAAGGAGGGAAGGAGCTCTCAGTGACATGTGCCCCCACCCCACTACTGGAAGGAGGTTGCTCCTGCTCATCTGAGACTATCACTTGGATGCCAAGAGAGGTGCAGAGGAGACGGACCTGTGTGATGGAGCCCATACCCCTGGCCATCCATAGACACAGAAGAATGTGCCTTGGGCCACAGCCTTCAATGAAACCTGCAGCATTTGCATTATGAGAACCTAAAGCCAGGGCCATATAATTATAAAAGGAACTGGGGCTTGGATGGTGACTTATTCTCTAGACTTTTTGATAGCTGTTACATTTATCAGAATGAGCAACTTCTTTCGTTTTATTTTCCCATACTGGGAATTGAACTCAGGGCTTCACACATGCTAGAAAAACCCTCTGCCACTGAGCTACATCCCCAGACATTTCAAAAATTTTATTGCGAGGCAGGGTCTTGCTAAATTACCCAGCTGGCCTCCAAACTTGCAATCTTCCTGCCTCAGCCTCCAGTTACAGATATATGCTACCAAGCCTGCTGAACAAATGACTAGTAAAGAAATAAGAGGGCCTGGAGTGAAAGCCATGAGGTTGGGGTGCAGGGTGAATTTTTCAGGGTTGGAGATGTCTGGCCTGGTCTCTAGTGAGGTCTAGCAAAGCTAGAGTCTAGGGGCAGGGCAAGGGGGACTCCAGTGGGGACCCCAGAAAGTTCCCTCAGCCCTGCCTGCTGGGCAGGTTGCTGCCTGCCAGGGAGTAGCCTGCCTTGGTGGCCCTGCCACTTCTGCCCTGTGCCCTCCTCCTTAGCCCTCAGGGGCCTCCTGCCATCTTTCAGGTCTCGGATTCCAGTCTTCCTGAAGAACACGTGGGTGTTCTATCACCCACTGATGCCCCACGTCAGCCTCCAGTGAGGTACCAGCATCCTTCTGCCTGGGGAGAGCAGATCTGCCACTCTGCTGCAGACCCACCCGTTCAAGGTCATTTATTCAGACTGGGAGGCCCCCAGAACAAAAGGCCCTTGCACCTGCGTGAGGGGCCTGGTATGGGCAGGATGGGTGGCCAGACTGGTCCACATGGGCCTCTACTGAGACTGGGCCGAGGCAGTGAGATAGCAAGCAGGTTGCTAATAAGAAGCGTGGGCATCTGCTACTGGATCCCTCCGGGCCCTCACGCCCTCAGCACTCAGTATTCCTGTTTCTCCAGACCTAGCTTGGACACCATACTGTGCCGTCGGGCACAGCCTGCCACTAGAGGGCGCCAGAAAGGAGCGCTCTTTCTCTCGGCATTTTATTGGGGGGTTGTTTGCTTGCTTGCAGCTTCTTTCAGCAATCCCAGGATCGCCTCGGAGGAGCTTCTTTGGAGGTCCTGCAGCAGCAGGCGACACCCGACCATCTGTGGGCTCCGGCTCTGGGGCCCTTTCCGGGCCAGGCCGGTAAATTTACCTATTCCGCTTCATCCTGAGCCCGACTGGTGGCAGCTCCAAAGATGGTATCTGGGTAGCTCAGCAGTCCCTTTAGTCCAGAAATGCACCCCCACCCCCAGTCTGGAAAGTAGACTCGCCTTCACATGCATAGACTGGTTAGGAGTGTGCTTTCACCTGGAGGTCAGAGCCAGCGCCCTTAGCAGAGGGCTGCCCCAGGAGACCCAGGCCAGAGCGGAGGAAGTCAGGGCGGGGCAGCCCAGCAGCTCCAGGTGAACCGTTCCCGGAAGGAGGTTTCCGCAGACTCCTCGGTATCTTTGTGGGTGCAAGTTCCTCTTGTGAGTGCAAGTCTCTGCGACCCTCCTTCCCCTCGCAACACACAGAACCCCTTAATGGATATACCCCGCCCCCCGCCATACCCTGTGGCGCAGTCACCGATCCTCTCTGCGAGCACTAAAGAACTTCTGTTTGTCCATTGTTTATTATGTGCCCACTGTCACCAAGGGAAGGACACCCGGAAGGTCGAAGTTCGTTGCGTATATGTCGGGCATCCAGGGCTGCCTGGCGTGTAGTAGGTGCCCAACAAACACACGCAGAATGAGAAAAGTAAATGTCGAGTCGAGGCTGCCAAACAGCGCAAGCCCAATCTTCCAACCGCGACGTTTTGCATTGAAAGCGCCTGCAGTCTTCCTCCTAGGACGTTTTCATCAAGACCGGGAGATCACATCGAACCTCTTCACTGCGGGGCAGAGGGCCGCTCCCCAGACCCTTACGCAGGAGCGGGCATCTTCTTTGATCCCAACCGAGAGGACCGCCTAGGAAAAGCAGGTGTGGGTGGGAGCCGCCAGCAGGACCCTGAGTTGCGATTCAAGGGAGAGGAAGTTTAGCTCGCTAGCCCTGGCCCGCTGTGCTGGGGGAGGGAACTCCTTGAGGAGGGATCCAGAGTGGTGGGGGAAGCGTCCCAGAGATAAGCCTCCTACAGAGCGCGCGCTGCGCCTCGGGCGCCCCATCTTACCCCAGCTGCTCCTCCATCCCGCACTCTCACCTCCCTCACCCAGTACACTGGCCCTCTTACCACACCGATGGCCTTTAACCGCCTGGAGAGCTGCACACTTCGCTTTTAGTGTGACCGCTGGCGACCCTTCGCGTTCCCGCCACAACCCACGGACGACCTGGATACACAGACCCAGGGTCGCTGGGGCTCAGAGATATCCCTGGAGGTCTCTATTTCCTCCGCAGTAAAGTGGTGCTAACGAGACCAGGATTAGACTAGGAGAGCAAAGTGCGGAGCCCGAAGCTGTGGCATTTCTCCGGAGTCCGAGACCAGCTCGCGGGAGGATAGCGCACATCTGGTATCCCGCCCTGCGCTCCCGTCTGGGCTTCTATTTGGCAACCCACACTTCTCCCAGCTAGACAGGCAGCAGCCGCGCTGAGGGTCTGCTAAATGCAGCAGAGGGGTGAGGATGCCGGAGAACGGCCCCGCCCCTCTGCCCCGCCTCCCCGTTGACCCCGCCCCTAAACCCACAGCTCTTGCGTACCCTCTTCCCTAGAATCTGAATCTTGGCCGTTCACGTCGTCGCCTCCCGGAAGTCCAAGAGGAACCAAGTCCCACCTAGAAGGGTCCTCCCTGCTGCCAGACCCTCGGGACCCACGTGACATGTGTTTTCTCTGAGGAAGTGAGACCAAGAGGCCAAGGGCAGGTCTCACGGCCAGGAAGACCCGGTGCCACTGGCAATTCGGAGATCTCTAAGGAGGTGCCCTCGGTGCCCTGGGCTTGGCTTAGCGAGAGCTGATCGACGGCAATGCCCTAGCGCCCAATCGGATCCCTAGAGGGCAGACCCGGCCCAACCAGCCAGGAGAATGAAATCCCCATGCACGGGACCGCACCTCATAATAGCGGGGTACCCACGCGCCACGCGGCGCCGGCGGGGGCTGCACTGTGTGCGACCACGCGAGTCAAGGGCGACCACAGAACTCCTGCCCAGCTCCGACCATAAGTGGCTTTCCAAACCTCGATCACCCGTAGCCCTTGCCGCTACCTGCACAAAACGAAAAAGCACCTTAGAAGAGAGCAGCGGGAGGGAACACTAGGTCCCTGCTCAGAGCCCCCAAAAGTTATTTTCTTCGGAGACACCACATCCCGGTGGCCCCGGAGGGGAGGGGGAATGGAACAGTCGTTGACTAACTGCCCCCAGGCCCAAAAGAGGCCGATCTTGAGCACTTAGCCTCCAAACCAGATCCCTCCCGGCCAAGAAAAGGTCATCCCTTCGCACACTTTTGCATCAAGGCTCCCTTCCGGGCAGCGGGTAATGGTATTGGCCACATTCTATTATTAAATTAGTATGCGCCGCCACCCAAGAGAAAAGCTACTATTCGCAGCGTCTGTTCAAAGCCTGCCCTGCGCAGGGCTCAGAGTCGACCACAATCGCATTTCACCCTCCCGGAGTTCTTGAGGGCGTAGGTTCTTTGTACCCTGAGAAGGACTTTAGGATCACATGGGCCGCGGACGGACCTAAATGCGCCCTACTCGCAGTGCTTAAGTGCTCACTCGCGTTAAGGCCCCGGACGCGGCTCCCTAAGTGTCCTGGACCTGGAGGCTCGGAGATCTCTAGTGTCCTTGTTTGCCACGCCAGGGCTGTGACTCGCGGAAGAACTGCCCGTGGGGGAGGGGGGTTGCGGCCCTGGTTGCACGGTAACTTCCTAAGTAATTCCAAGAGGAGACTCTGTCGACCGCAAAGTTCCAGCTGGGGGTCCCTGATCCATCGCTGCATCCTGACCAGGCCGCGGGGAACCGGGAACCGCCTGGCGGCGTGAACAATAGGAGGCCGCGCGTGTGGCACCTGTATCACCAGCATTGCCTCGCAGCCACGGGGACAGTTTGTTGGCGAGACTAGAAGCCCAGTCGAATGGGCCAAGTCTAACCACTGAGCCCGTGAACTCTTTTGCCCTTCGGCTGTCCGGACCCAAGACAGCTGTCCCCGCAAGTGGTCCAAGCAGCCATGCACCAACCAGAGAGAGAGAAGCCAAGAAGCCAGGGCAAGAGGCGAGGGCTGTGGTCCCCGACGACGCCCACTGACCTCGGGTGGCTGGTGGGTCAGGGCTTTTTCTTTAACGGAGAGCACTGAGCGCGCTGCTTGGATCTTCAAATCTACATTCTTTCGGGCTATAAAATATGTTCTCGTATTTTTTCCTGATTTCCCATTAAACCCTTTGCCTAACTAAACTCCCATCCAACGGGATTTATTTCGTCCCTGGGGAGATAAATCAGGGGGCAAATTTACAACCCGGGAGGCACCTGCCGCGCTAATGGGCCCTTCATGGAGTGCGCAGCCCGAGGGGCGCGCGCAGACGGGCGGGGCGCTGGCCAATGGCCGGGCCGCCGGTGCTCATAGCCAATCAGTGCGCGCGCCGCACCGGGGCCCCGCGGTTATCAGCGCTTCTGTCCCGCGCGGCGCCGCTCCGACCGACCCTGGGGTAGTCTGTGCCAGTCGAAGCTTCGTGGTCTCTCAGGCTGCCACCCAG